CTGAGCCACAACTCCATCCCTTTTTAATTTTTTTGAGACATGGTCTTGCTAAATTGCTTAAGGCATTGGTAAATTGTTGAGGCTGGCCTCAAACTTGTGATCCTCCTGCCTCAGGCTCTGGAACCGCTGGGAATTACAGACCTGCCCAACCAGGCCTGGTTTATCTCTTTTTAAAAAAGTTTTATTGAAGAATGATTGACAAGATAATCTAAGCATATTTAAATATACAATTTGATAAGTTTTGACCTATGTATACACCCATGAGATAAACCATTACCCCAATCAAAATAGTGAACATATTCATCATCCTCAAGTTTCTCGCCACCTTTTGTAACCATTTCATCCTGTCACTCCCTATCAAGTCCCTTAGCAATTGGAGTTGTCTCTTGGTGCCCTCTGGACTTTGATTCCAGGATTCCCCCTACCCATATTAAAATCAGCAGATGTCAAGTCCCTTATAAAATGGTGTAGTTTTTGCATATAACATACATACATGTTCACATATACTTTATTTTTTAAACTCTTTTTTAAATATTTATTTTTTAGTTATAGACAAACACAATATTTTTTATTTTTATGTGGTGCTGAGGATTGAACCCAGTGCCTCACACATGGTAGGTGAGTGCTCTACCTCTGAGCACGACCCCTGTCCTCACATATACTTTAAATTATCCTTAATCTATTATGTAGTAGAATGTAAATGTTGTGTTAATAATTGTTAAACTGTATTTCTTAGAGAATAGTAATAAGATTTTTTCTTATTAGTCTCTACATGTTCAATACAGATGTGATTTTTTTCCCCCAAGTATTTTTCATTCTCTGGTTAAATACACAGATGTTGAACTCATGGATAGGGAGAACCAATTATACTGACCTGTTTTCAGTCACCACAGATTAGTTAGCACATGTTCAAGTTTTATATACGGGCGTCACACAATGCACATGTTTGTTGGGGGGTCTGGTTTTTTTCATGCTGCATAATTATTACCTCTCAAACATTATGACATACTGTTCACTATAGCAAGATCTTTTCTCCAACAAAACTGATCCAACCACTGTTTCCCTAGCAAGCTTTGACTGTGCTTGTAAACAATCTTCTGGCAATCTTCAGGTATCGGGTATTCCTTTTTCATCTGGCAGGTCTAGCAGGACCAAGGCTTTAAAATGTTTTAATATATGTGTCACATTAGATTGCCAGCCCCTTGGGGCAAGGATCTTGACTAATTAAACATGCATTCAATAAATGTTTATCTTCCAGATTTCAACCAGGCCTACACATTTCCTGTCTTTAGGGATTTATAATCTAGAAGGTGGAGACAACCAAACCAGAAAATCAAAAGACAATAAGGGGGGAGGGGCTGGAGTTGTGGCTCAGTGGCACAGTGCTGGCCTAGCATGTGTGAGGCACTGGGCTCAATTCTCAGCACCATATATAAATAAACAAAATAAAAGTCCATTGACAACTAAAAACCATTTTTAAAAAAATACAATAAGAGTACTTTGTTTCCCTGGAACTTTACAACTCTTAACTTTTTTGTGCCTACAAAAAATGCTTCACTCCTGTCTTGAATGATGTAGAAGTGAAACAAGGTGAGCTCTTTGACAGTTTCCAGAACTCTAATAAATTGTAGGGTTTAAAGTTGGAAATGAGGGGGCTGGGGATGTGACTCAAGTGGTAGCGCGCTCGCCTGGCATGCGTGCAGCCTGGGGGATCAATCCTCAGCACCACGTACAAACAAAAAATGTTGTGTCCGCTGCCGATAACTAAAAAAAAAAAAAAAAAAAAAAAAGAAGAAAAAAAAGAACAGGATTTATCCATAATTGAACTAATCCAAATAAATTTCCTAATTTTCAGGTAAGCAGATAGTCTTGAATTTTATGTGTTGGCCAGCAAACATTCTGAAGAATGAATTTATTCACAAAAAAATATGTATTCAGTGCCTAAAGATATGTTATGAACAGTTATAGTCAATGTTCAGTGGCAAACTGATAAATTCAGTATTTCAGAAAATGTTTATTAAATGTTTTAATAAAATGTTTATTCTTTCCTCACAATTCTTTGCCCTTGGGGCTCTATTTCCATTTTGTCAACAACATGTCTATTTTCCACTCTCCTTGTATCACATACTCATTCTCCTTCCTGTCCTTGCCCAATTATTTACAATACAGCTCAAGAAACACTTACTACTGTCTTCTGGTTAAAGCCCTAAGAAAAGTGCTGTGAGAATAAAGAGATGGAAAGGCATGGTACAGAACCAACTCTCTTGGATTTTTAACTCTCAGTCTAGTTCATGAATTCTCAACCTCAAAGGGGTGGTACTACATTCAAGGAAGTAAAAATAATATCACTCTAAACATATAAAACACAGATAGACACATAGCACATAAACAAACATACAGTATACAAACACACAGGGTTGGATGTGGTTTGTCCCCCAACGGTGTGTTGGGAAACAAAGTATTTTTGTACTCTTGGTCCTTAGAGTGGCAATATTGATAGGTGGAACCTTTAAGAAATGGAGCCTAGGGTTGTATCTCAATAGTAGAGCGCTTACCTAGCATGTGTAAGGCACTGCGTTCACTCCTCAGCACCACATAAAAATAAACAATTAAAATGAAGGTATTGTGTTCATCTACAACTAAGAAAAAAAAAATTTGAAAAGAGATGGAACTTAGTTGTAGGTTCTTAGGTCATTGGGGGCACTGCCTTCAGGGACTACTGGTTTCCTGGAATGAGTTATTGAAAGAGGGAATTGTTAAAAAAGCCCAAGTGCAATTCTTGAGTTGGTCTCTCTGGCTTCCTCTGTGTTATATCTTGATTCTGAATGTGCTTCTGCTGTTGTCATCTGCCACGATGTGATGCAGTTAAAAGTGCCAGAGTAGAGCTAATGCCCGTGCCCTGACCTTGAATCTGCAAGACTGACCTAAGGGCTAGGAGTATAGCTCAGTGGTAGAATGCATGCTTAGCATGTACAAAGCTCTGATCCAATCTCTAGCACCAAAATCAAAGCAAAACAAAAAGTTGTGAACTAAATAAAACTTTTTCCTCATAAGTAGGATGATTCATGTATCCTTATAGCAATGAACAACTGACTAATACACAGTGGCATTAAAATTTCATGGGGCAGATTTCAATTAGGAATAACACATCTAAAAATACTTCATGGGTGGGGGCAATAGTATAAAAAAAAGATAAAGGACTGATTTAG